GGTTTAGGGTTAAACCCTAAAGCCCTAACACCCTAAACACTAAATCCTCAAACGGTTTTGGGTTTGATCTCAAGATTGTCCCTGCCTCTTAAGATGCCTCTGCCTGTGCTGCTCTGGGCTTGGGGATCTTCACCGCAGTCAATCCAACAGGCCAGGTTTTTTTTCAGGATTCCATGGCTCTCCTTAAGCCCTCAACCCGAGGAGGAACAGGGGCGTATAGCTTTTGTAGCAGAAAACCGTAAGCCCCAGCCCCAAAAAATGGATTCAGGGTGTCTTCAGAGAACTTGCGACTCCTTCGCTTTGTGCTCGGATTGCCGCCCTCAAAACCCCAAAAACAAATCGTGATTTCCGGTAGACCGGTAGACCTACTGCAGCCCAAAAGGGCCCTGGACCCTTGAGCTCTTGAGCACCCGAACAGCACTAGAAACATATCAGACCAAGGGACCACTTAGCATTTCACGAATCCCCAAAGCAGACAGCTTTACTTTTGAACACTTGAGCTACTGAACCTGCAACCCTTAAAGCACGGACGTGGGAACACACAACAGTCTAAAGTGCTGCAGATGTGACGATGTTTGTAGTTAGACTTCACAAACTCCAAGCCGTGACACCCTAAACCTTGATTGTCCGCGTAACTCTGCTGATTGCTCCAGCTCAGGACAGACCTGTGACGATCATCAATGCCTCAGTGCCGGACGGAGGGGTGGCATGGCACAGGGTCAAGAGTTTAGGGTCAAGGGCTTGCGGAATTAGGGGTCCGTAGAGCTGCGAAGTTGTTCTGCAGCATCGATCGGACATCGTGAGATTCCGGATGCCAGCCTCTTTCTCGCTAGGACCTGTCTTGGAGCTGTGCAGGTGCATGATGCCGGGCTTAACATTACCAGCATGGTCGTAAAGAAAGCCATCAACTGTAGCAGTGGCAGCATTGTCGTCATGGTTGCCATCACCATCACTTCTGCTTACAGAACCCAATTCAAACCACATAAACACTAACGAAAGGCCGAAAAACCTTAAAAACAGCCCGTGCCCTTTGCACGGGAAGCGGAGCCGGAGTGGGCCCGAGGTGTTCTGCATGCAACGGGCTTTCCGCGCGTCGTACTCCGGCTGCATCAAGAAAAAGGGTCCAAGTGTCAGTATAGTATATAATTTCGGGGTCCAAATATCTGCTAAGAGCCTACTATGATGATGCCTGGACCCTTTGGTACACGAAAACTTACAACTCTTTGTGTGTCAAGCGGGTTAAGCGGTCTGCGATTGAGGGTTTAGGGTTCAGGCGCGGTTTAGGCTGTGACAACGGGATTGCGGTAGCGATGGCCACGACGACAACAGTGATGATCAGAATGTCGGCGGCGGCTGTCTACGATTTTGACACACAGGTCTCGAAAGTAGTAGTGCATGATGCTTCGCGTGCCAAGCACACGTTCTTCGAAACTCTGAATGTTCTGAGGGTCTTTGGGCTCGATGCGTGTTGTTCTTGAATGGCCTGTTGGACTTACATTGTCGTCAGCTCAGGATCACTCAGAAGGCGTTCCGAAGTGCTGAAGAATTACCCTGCCAATGGACCCCTCTACGCATGCCTGCCATCCCCGTTGATGGTGAGGATGAGGGTGAGGACGATGAGGATGAGGACGATGCTGATGATGATGATGATCATGATCATGTTGAGGCCGAGCGCGACTCCCTCACCCTCCCCGCCTGCGCCGCTTTGATGTTCTGAAGTATGAAGTTGCAAAGGTCCGAAACATGCTGAAATCTCACGGCCCAGATTCCTGAACCTTACACAGGAAAACCGCAGGACAGAAATCCATGCGCTAGCAAAGCAAGTCTATGAGGGGAAGACATGGAGCTCCACCGAAAGGGCCGCACGAGTATCTTCCACTCTGGGTTGGGTTGTTTTCGGGGGTTTGGGGAGGTTATGGTATAGGACGGTCCACAGGGTTTAGGCTGGTGTGGGGTTTAGGCCTGTTGAAGGGTTAGCATGGCTTTAGGTTGTTTTCAGGTTTAGGGGCCCTTTGAATAAGGATGATGACTTTCATCAACGCCACGGCGCCGCAGATCCAATGTGCGTCGCGACTCCGGATCATTGACGTCTCAGTAACAGGCCGGTTGTTTGAATCAGCAGACTGCTGTGCTTGAAAGTGTATTTTTTGCTTGTGAAATGTCTTGTCAAGGACTGGTACTTTGTACTTTGTTAATGAGAACCCAGATTTGCAGCAACCCCCTGTCAGGATGACAGGGCAGTTTCCGCACTCACCACAGGTATGCGTCAATCATCGAATTCCACCGGGGTTCTGCCAGCTCTGGCTTCAGTACTAACTCGTAGCCCCGGAGAGTCAGCGACAAGCAGGTTGGATGCCAATTTGATACATCATAGACTCATAGCGATACAAGCCGATCATAGCTGCGCCATCAGGCACAACGGCTTCATTGATGGCGCCGAAGAGGACGCGCATGCAGGTTTCGAGCACGAAGGGTTCGAAGCATATAGAACTATGTATGTGTATGTGTATATAAATGCGTACAGATGTACGAAGACTCACACTCACATTCACACTCTCTCTCACACACACACACTCACACTCACACTCACATTCGCACTCACACTCACACTCAGACACACACACACACACACACCCGCGCACACACACACACACGCCCGCCTGCGTGCGTACGCATGTGCTCTATCTCGCGAGGAAGATCCAGAGATTGACCTGTGACAACGGCTTGGAAGGAGCCAAGAGCGAGACAGAGAGCTGCTGTGAGGGACTTCTCGTTGTCTGATGTCACTGCCGCAGAAGGTCGGACAGCTCGCATACAGACAGTCTACGCATCAGCTGACTCCGGTCTTCTTGCGCTTTTCTATTTCGGCCAAGTTCCTTCAACTGCAGCCTCCGATGGACCATTACCGACTGTGTTGCAGGGGTGCTCAGCAGATCTCAATCGCCGATAGCGGCCAGAAGCTGGCAACCGTTCACCCTGCGCCATTTTGTCTGGCCCTTCTCCAGGATACCTGGACAAGATGGAAACGGGCTGCCACAGATGCAGGCTGGCTATGCGTGCGAAGACAGAAGCAATTAAGCCGCTGATTAGAAAATACCCTCTCTTCCACGGTCTTTAATATTAGGATCCCTTGTTTATTTCCCGTAAAGGGGTCTACCATACCCACCGAGCTTTAAACGGCCGTAACTTCCATGAGCTCCTTTGCCGCAAGCTGTAAATACAACACCCCGGACACGGCACAGCAAAAAAGTCACAAGCCAAAACCTATAAACTAGAAACCCTAAGCCCTGTAAGCCCTTCAAGCCGAAAGCCCCATAAACTAAAGCCTAAACCCATAATTTCCAAATCCTCCACCCTAAACCCTCAAAACCCAGAATCCGAAAGGCCGGGCTTCTTCCAACTTCAGGGCGGTCCTGAGATCAGGATACTCGGCCGAGAGCAAGCGCCAGTAGTGCATGCACTAGGGTTTAGGGTTCGGGCTCGGGGGTTTAAGGGTCACGGGGGTGGGTTTTTAGGGCTTTTGGGGTTTCGGGTTTGGGGTTTCGTAGGGGTTGGGGCTTGGGGTTTAGGGTTTAGGGCTTGGGGTGCAGGGATTAGGGTTTAGCGTCATGGTCACCAGTATCTTTTAACTTTTGTATTGTTGGTACATGTCGTGAACGTGCTTGGTCCTGCACCCTTGGGGACCAAATGACCCTTATAAGTAGGGGCCCTATACCCTTGTACTATGGATCCCTAAATGGTCGTATATGAACCTGAAACCCTTTTAGGGTTCATTTCGTCCCTACAGGTAAGGATGAGCCCCAGGCTAAACACCCCCCCTCCCCCCATGCTCAGGCCCGGACGGCTGGGCCCAAATCGTGCGAGTTAGACGCTAATTCGCTCAAAATAGGAGGTCCCAAGAGCTTGAAATGCAATCCTTCGGTCCTCCCCTAAAGCCTAAACCCCAACGCCTGACCTCTAAACCCGCGTGTCCTGAACCTCAGTATCAGAAAAATTAACATCCTAAACCTCCGAGCCTCAAAGCTACATACAACATCCTAAATCCCCAGTATCCTGCATCCCTAGAGAGCCCTCAACACTCAGAATTAGGCCTTAACCTACAGCCTAATACACTTTGTTCTCTTTTTGAGCCGAGGAACGACAACCAGGTCACCGGCCACAACTGCATCCAGGCCAAGCTTTCAACCCAAAAAGGGCTTAGGGCTTCAGGGTTTGGGGTTCTAGGGTTTAGGATTTAGGGTTTTGGGCTTTTGGGTTTTAGGGTTTAGGGTGTAGGGTTCGACGGGCAAGGTTCAGGGTTCAGCGTGTGCGATTTTAGGGTTCAGGGTTTAGGGTGGTAAGGTTGACCATTTTGGACTTAGGGTTTAGACGGGGTTAGTTTTCAGGGTTCATTCACGACTTCGTCGAACAGAGGCCCGAAGACCAGAAAACCTAAACCCTAACCCTAAAACCCTAAACCCTAAACCCTAAAACCCCTAAATCCCCTAAAACCCTAAACCCTAAAACCCTAAACCCTAAAACCCCTATTTCCCCTAAAACCCTAAACCCTAAAACCCTAAACCCTAAACCATGATCAACTCGGAGATCCTCAATGCCGAAATCCCTGCACCCTGAGCCATCGGCAAGCCCCAGCTGGCACAACCCTGAAAAACCCCGGTGCAAATCCTGAGCACTGAGCCCCTAAATCCTACTGCCAGAAAGTGGAGAGCTTCCTGATTCTTCCTGCCGTTGAGGGTTTAGGGCTGCCAATGCTTGAGGGTTTAGGGTTTAGGGTTTTTAGTGTTTAGGGTTTAGGGTTCAGGGCTTAGGGCTTCTAATGCTTGAGTCGGAGTCAAACAAATGGTAGGGCTCGGGGCTCGGCAAGCACCCCCACAGCACCATTCGAGTTACAATCACCCCTCGGGTAGCTCTCTAAATTAGGGCCCCCGGTTTTGGGGTCCCCAATATCGTACGGCACCCTTATAAAAGGAACCCTAAAAGGGACCCTAATTTAGAGAACCTAAACCTCGGATACTGCCCCCACTCAGTAACAGTTGAGTATAATATTCATAATATGGATGTAATAAGCCCTTACAATAGTAGCCCTTTCTTATAGACTGTTACTGTATGGGGGCAGTGCTCAACCCTTATCTTATTATAATCACAAGGGACACCCAACACCCTGATCTCGAATCCCTAAACCCCGAATCCTACCCAACCTCAACCTATGGATGTAATAGGCCCTTAATGGTAGCCCTATTTTATAGACTGTTACTGTATGTGGGGCAGTACCCAACCTCAAGCCCTTATAAAAGGGACCCTAATTTAGGGATAATCCTAAACCTTATAAACCCTCAACCCTAAACCCTAAACCTCAACCCCTTCAGAAACCCCTGGAGGCGCCTCAGGGATCCGAGCAAATCGATCAAATTCTTCAAATCCGGCCGGGGCCTTGGGGTTTAGGGCTTTAGGGTGTAGGGTTTAGGGTTTAGGGTTTAGGGTTTTATATAGGTTTAGGGTTTAGGGTGTAGGGTTTATAGGGCTTAGGCCTTGGATTGGTCTTCGAGTTTGGGGCTGATGGATATTTGTTAGGCTCTGGGGTTATGGGGTTTAGGGTTGTGGGGTGGAGAGGTGAGGGCTAGGAGCTTAAACGCTTAATCAGGGGATCTAGGAGGCTCTGGGGCTAGGATTGAATTGAGCTTGGTGCTTCGGGTGTTCCGCGTGATGAAAGGGCATCGATCGAACGCCCTTTCAGAACCCTAAAGCTTCGAGCGCTGAACCCCGGTAAAACAATGGCCCAGCACTTGCTATTTCAGAACAGCTGTTGTTCTACATACTTTTGGGGTCCCTGAACCCTAAACCCTAAAACCCTAAACCCTTGCGGTCCAAGTACACCCTAAGCACCCTGAAGTCGTCAGCCCTGAATGTTCGCGGAGGCCGGGCTTCATGGTGGCAAGAAGCAACCTGTCCACCAGCCTACGCTGTCCGAATGTGCGGCCCGGCCGGATGAAGATGATCGTAGCGGTTTCGTGCTTGGGGTTTATACGATCTACAGGATTTATAGGTTTACCGGTTTACAGGCTTGTAGTATTGTTTGCTTTATTATAGGGCTTATCATTGCTTGACAGGGTGTAAGCCTTCCGGGTGTCTAGCTTCGGGCTTTGGGGCGCTGGGTTTACGCTGAGGGCTTTGGATGAGTTTGAGCATGTCTCAGGGCTAGCTCCGCATGTTTTGAGGCCTAAGATCTCCGCAATGTAGGAGCCTCAATTACTGGAGTTGGGCTTTGGGCACGACACACATTTTACACACTGTACAGTTTCCTTCAAGGACTAAAAGAGGATACTATCTTATGCGCCTGTTCCCATTGTAGCATACACCAAATTAACATATGTCAAGCACTATAAGGGGATACTTACCAAGTATTCCGGTTTCGGCTAAACCCCAAACCCTAAACCCTAAACCGTACCCAGCTCGCCAGCATTTCCCTGAGGATGGCCTGCCCTGGGGGACAGCTCATCGCAGACCAGGGAGTCAGGGACATGTGCGAGCACGGCTACGAAGGTGGAGCCTGTAGGATCTTCATATATATATATATAATGACATACAATTATGAGTTATACTGACAGTAATGAATATAAAAATAAATCAATATTTAAATATATATAAATATAAATATAAATAAATAAATATATATATATATGTATATTGATTGGAAGTCGGAAAACTCACCTCAATTTGCCTCGAGCGTAGAGCTAAACCCTAAACCCTGAGCCGCAATCTGCATGCCACAGATTCAGGGGCACTGTGTATAATGGCACTGGGGGTTTGGTCTTCATCAGAGCTGTTTGGGTCTACGGTCCGACAGCTCATCGCACCTTAGATATGACAGCACTGCAAGCCTTGGAGCCATCACGAACACGCCAGATATCAAGCAAGGAGTCGACGATAGGTGACTGGTATTAGAGAGACAGAGAGAGAGTCGACAAAACACAGCAAAGCAGCGCCTTTCTGCGAAGCTCCGTGCAAGTTCTGAGATCTGGTGTTCTGATCTTGCTAAAGACCCCAATGGCGAACCTAGTTCAGAACACGCCCCACCGTCTTCCCCATGTGGTTTTCGAAACCAAGCAAGGGCCAACATGTTGTGTCCAGCAACGGGGCAGGTCGTGGCTGTGTTAACTGCCAAAAGAGCAGCCATGGCCGCGTAACCAACAACCCTTTCGAGTCACGGCAGCAAAAAGGGGTGAGATGTCCACACCGAAGTAACGGAATGCTGCAGCCACCGGGGCATTAAAGCCAACGTGTTGGAACTTACAGTGGATCAGGCTCTCGGTGGGTCCGACGGATCCTCTGTAACTACATATTAGGACGTTGTCGCAAAGCACACAACATCATGTAAGATCATGTAAAATAACTTAGAAAAGAACAGGAAGGAATACACTATTTCAGAATAGAACAGCACGGAGCAAAAATACATTTATGTGCATCTATGTACCGTTACACACACATACATACATGCATGCATGCATGCATACATACATACGTACATATATGCGTCTATGCATATTCAACCGAATATACCTACACATAAGATCACATAAGATCGACAGACAGATAGCTAGATAAAGAGATAGATAGGTAGGTAGATAGCAGATAGATAGAGAAAGAATGAATGCAAGAGAGAGATAATAGGCTACCGTCCCCGACAAACTCACAACATAGTATAGGCACCTAGTCTTGTATTATTTGTATATTGTATGGCAGTGAAGCTTGATAGGGTGATAGAAACTGAGGCCTGCGCTGCCTGTGCCCAGAGGCCCTTTCGCAAGGCCACAGGGGTGCTCGGGGTGTCTAAGACGTCGTTTCACGCCGTGGGGCTAGGAGGGCTTCGGTTTTTCGGCTTCAGGGTTGGTTGTTGTGTCCTTGTTATTCGCTTGTAGATTTGAGGGCAGTTGGTGTGGTTCAGAAGGGCCAGCATTTTTCATTTGGCATTCAACATAGCAAAAAGGTAAATATTTGCAAATATAAACCTTTACATATACATATACACACATATATATACAATTGTTCCGAATCTTCCCAAGCCTTTCAGCGCGAGGTCTTTCAGTGGACCTGGTTCATCCTCCAGTCTCTCGGCTCGGTTTAGTGCTTAGGGTCCGGAAAATCCGCGACGCTTCGATCACGAAGCCTTCAAACTCGGCTGATCTGAAGTTGATTGCCAAAAGCTGAAGCTTGGGCAGAATTCTGTAGATCCCAATGCCATGGTCGTATGTGTTCCTAGCATGAGTGGGAATGGCGCAATTCGACAGTAAAGGAAGCTGCTCACGACTAGTTAGGGATACCATAGCTAGGTTACCAAAACCCCAAAACCCTAAAACCCTAAACCCTAAAACCCTAAACCCAAAGACCCTAAACCACCAAACCCTAAAACCCTAAACCCTAGAACCCTAAACCCTAAAACTCTAAAGCCCCAAACCCTAAAACCCTGAACCCTAAAACCCTAAACCCTAACACCCTAAAGCCCAAATTAAACCCTACACCCTACAACCCTAAACCCTAAAACCCTAAAGCCCCAAACTCTAAAATCCTAAACCCTAAAACCCTAAAACCCGAACCCTAAAACTCCAAACCCTAAAACCGTAAACCCGAAAACCCTAAAACCCTAAACCCGAAAACCCCAAAGCCCTAAACCCTAAAACCCTAAAACCCTCCCTAAAGCCCTAAACCCCAAAACCCTAGAGCCCAAAGCCCGAATACCCTAAAACCCAAAGCCCTAAAACCCTAAACCCCTAAAACCCTAAAGCCCTAAGCCCCAGACCCCAAAACCCCAAAAGCCTAAACCCTAAACCCTAAAGCCCTTATAAACCCTACACCCTGAAACCCTAAACTCTATAGGCCTAAACCCTAAACCCTAAAACCCTAAACCCTATAAACCCTAAAACCCTAAACCCTAAAGCCCTCAAACCCTAAAGCCTCTAACCCTAGACCCGCGTAGCAGGGAAGAAGCTCTGACTGGCGGCCAACTCAGCAGAAATTGGGTCTAAGTTTACCTCCGGTCGTAGAGCCACTAAGGGTCCAAGGACCCGATAATTAGGTACCTAGGTTTAGGTTTTAAGGTTTAGAGTTGATAGTAGTTGTGTAGGCCACAAGTTGCGGGGGTAAAGGATTATTAGGTGCTTGGACCCTTGAGGGACAGCAGAGCCTCCGAAAGGAAGCCGCTCGGTGTTGCGAAACCGCCTCACGTATGCCCCGACATCTCGTCAGGAATTCGGGAATCTTTGCGATATCCGCATCAGGTGGGCTGCCAGCTTCATCCACGTTGACATGTTTTGAGCTCTTCGCATTTAGGGTTCATGATGGGCCCTGTGCTGTGTTTATAGGACTCGCAGGGTTGCGTAGCCCTTAGCCTCCGACTTGGCACCATAGACCCATCTACAGCCTGTAGCTGTCGAGACTACACAGCCCCAAACCTCAGAGAAACCCAGCTTTCAGACAAATCCACGTGGTTCGGGCCCTTGAGTTTGACAAGTGGAGTTGCAGTTGTAGGCATTGTTCGTGTTTTTAAAGACGGTCAGTGTGCGCAGCTATAAAGACGGTCCGCATCACGGCAACGGTGATGACGATGATAGTCAAGATGGCTCAGTGTTTGATGACTCAATGACGGACATGATGTCTATAGCTAGTGGTTGGGTCCCACGTGTTCTTTGTGCATGACCGATTCCTCTTCACTGCTAGAATCTCAACGGCGACGGTGCCAACGACGACGACTACTACTGGCCACGGCTGCCCCGTCTAATACTTCTACTCCTGCCACCACGACTGCAACACTTACTACTATGACAACGACAACGACTACTTCATATGGTTCTATTGCCACTAATACTACTACTATGTTACTGCTGCTGCCGCTACTACCACTACTGCTACTACTACTACTACTACTACTATTATAAGTATTACCAGCTTTCGCTCCCTCGACGTTCGCTTCAGCGGCGCCTGCCAGAAAAATCCTTTAAACGCCCAAGGCCAAAGCTCATGAAATTTTGAGGCCCGGAGTTTCGACCCGGCGGCGTTTACCGTAAATCCCTTGCAGAATGCTCGAAGCTTTTCAGGCCTTGGAATGAGATGCACTGTTCTGCAGGTGTGCTGATGGTCGAACAGGAGAGCTACAAGAGCACCATCCTCACCAATCAGCTCATGTGGCTCGAGGGCACTATTATGGGTTTAGGGTTTAGTGCTTAGTGAACATACTTCCTTTGATGTCGTGTTAAACGTGCCAACCAGTGGAGACAGAGCAGCAAGTACAGGTTTCGAAGTATCGCCACCGTCGCCATGACCATCACCACCGCCGTTCTGGTGGGTACATCATCATCATCATCATGCCGCGACTGTTGCCTAATCTCTGCCCCTAGTCATCACATACCTCAGCAAGGGACATGGTTGAACAAGAAGAGACTTTCATGCCACAGAATCGGCTGCATCGCCGAGGGCAGCACGGTTGATTGAAGTCTGGCGCAAGCTGAAGACAGCAATGATACAGATGAGCTTTCTGCTGCCATGCCCACACGTGTTGAACAATCTCTTCCAGAAAGCAAAATGTGGTGTCATGACTTTGGGATGGGCGCCCATTCTGCACCCAGGTCCTATGTCACGGTGTCCCTGCCGGCAACCGACTGAGAGTTTGGTTTGCCTTCTGACATACCGACATACAGAAACCATTCTGAAGGCAGTTGCATAACGAGGCCTTTTGACCATTCAGGTAAACTTAGTTACATATTTGGCTTGGTTGCTGATTTCGACAATATTCAGACCATCTTTGGGCAGCCAGACGCCTCGCCACCGAGGTGCTCACTGCCGTCATGTACTCACAGACGTTCCGGAACACGGCAGAGATCGTTCAGGACGCGATTGGGGTGGGGATATATGGCTTCCGGATCTTCGGTCAATCTTTCAGAAGTTACTAACAGTTAGCAACCCTAAACCCTAAACCCTACTAACAGCAAGAGATGACTCTGCAAGCTGCCTTCCGCGTGCCCAGCATGATTTCAAACACTCATTCAGCGAGTGCCGCGACTAATCAACAATAACGGCAGCCACCATCACCAACGCTAGCATCAGCAGCATGCCTACCAATTCTTCCTCCTCCACCACCACTGCGACCAGCGCTGCCACCAAAACCACCACCACTGCCACGACCACCGCCGCAGTCCCCATCCCTATCCTCCCCGCTCCCAGAAGCACATCTGCCCAGCAACAGTGGCAACAACAACCAGAGGGTGTAGGGTTTAGGATTTTGGGGTTTAGGATTTTGGGGTTTAGGATTTTGGGGTTTAGGATTTTGGGGTTTAGGGTTTTAGAGTTTATATTTTCGGATTCTAGGGTGGTTTAAGCTAAGCAACACAGCAAGAAGCAACAACTCCATTATGGCTCTGGTCATGACTATTAAATTAACATTACCACGGACGCCCAGGCGACTGTTGCCACTAATGACTAAAGAAAGAACGCCGCATGCTTCTTCAAATGCAGCGTCGCGTTCCTGCCGATGCACTACTATTACTATTGTTGCAAGAGTGCTTCCACTGCTAGTGCTGCTACTACTAGCCGACTGCCACCACGGCGGCTACTTTTCCTGCTGCTGTTTTTTACCGCTCCTGCGTGCATAATACTGCGACGACTGGTGCTTGTTGCACGTGCTTTTGTCGCAACCTTAGCCAGCGCATGGAGAGATGCTCAGGCAGGGCCTCGATTGGCATTGCCCCGCTGGTAATACTGTAGTACTGTACTGACAGTGGCAGAGGACCTCCTGCACACCCTTCAGATTCCCGTGGAGATCGCGGATTCGGGGGGAGGCCTTGCCTGTAGCCATACCGTGAAGAGAAGCATCAAGAACAGTCAAGCACATGGTTTTTTATCCAGCGGCATCATCAGCAGCAGCATCATCACCTCGCGGCTTCTCCCCGGAATGATGCTCGTGCTTGCTGCTGTGGCAAGAGCCGAGGTGAAGGACTATCGGTTCAATGCTTGCTGGGTCCTTCGGCTGCATCAAATCTGTCGTCCGTGATCAATACGGCTGCTGGGCATGTAGGCTTGCTAGGTCTAAGCTCTGATGTCTTCTGGCATGCTAATTCGGTGACCTGTGAACCCTAAACCCTAAACTAAACCCTAAATCCTAAGCCCTAAACCCAAGACACTCCTTTAGCAGGCTACATCGGCCTGAAGAAAACACTCTACGGAACGGATGTGGTCTTCGCTGCGACGGCCCTGTGTCTCATGGCCATTCTCGGATGGCTTCCTGGCCTACTTCTGGTGGCTATGATTAGTGTGTTGGAGTTTAAGTTTAGGGCTGAAGGGCTTTCGGGCTGAAGAATGAAGCTCTTCAGGGCTCAGGATTTTCGACTTGACGTCAGAGCAAGCTTAGCCATGCGCGTGTTTGCACGATCAAGCCTTTGGACACGAAACCCCTGAACAACTCCGGTGGAGTCTGCAAGGCTCGTGGATTTTTGGTCGGCGGTGGTGGTTGGCTTCAACTGCTTCCTGCCAAGGATCTGTTTCTGCCTCGGGAGGCAGATCTGAAGAAATGCGGGTGGGGGAAGGATATGACAATGAGAGTGATAAAGATGTGGATAGTACAGTAGCAAGAATTTGCTGTCGTCATCATCAACATCGTCATCATCATCATCATCATCGCCATCATCATATTGATACCTGCAGGAAATTAAAGATATTAAAGCTCCCTGGATAATGCGGCACAATACCGGGGAATCAGTGGATACGAGGGCCGTTTGGAGCGGTGTTAATTAATGTTGATGAGGACGACGAAGTTGAGGATAATGACAGTTACGATTTCCCGTGATGGTAAAACTTTGAGAACAAAAGTACCATGTAGGGGCAGTCCACAAGCCCGGCTGGCACAACTCTGCTTAGGATACTAAAGAACCGTGGGAGATCTACTAATAGAGACGGCAATACTTGCTAATAGTATCCCCTTATGGCCTTGCTCTCGGAATCGTTGTAGGATGATCTACCCCAATCCCCTGTTGCAATCAAGCGGTTGTGCTGGCAGCTGCTGCGTTTCTGGCTCGACCTGGTGCTCATGATTACCATTCTGGTGCAACATCAGAAGTGGCAGTAAGCACAGCACAAGAACTACTGAGGCTGCTGAGCAAGATGTTGCCTTCTCCTGGCCCTGAAATCCTACAAACTGTTCCGACAGGCATTTGGTGTGCTACCGCATGCTGCCGCAGGCATGGGACCCCGAAAGGGTACAGAAAGGACATCGATTCAGCTGATCGAGCCCAAAGTCCATTGGAACTTGTAGCCGTGAACCTCGTGTGCTTCTGTGAAAGGACACACCTTGAAGCCCTGCACCCTGACCCCCGACTGGCAAGCGATCATCAGACATGTACACCTTTAGATTTAGTCAGTTTATTTAAAAACAAACATATTTAAGTTCACACTTCGGTGATTGTTTCTCTTTAGATGCCCACAGACACCTACATGGTGTACATACAGACATAAATACATACATACATACATACATACATACGTACATACATGCATGCACGCACACACTTACGAAGTACATACATGTATGCATCTATATGTGTGTATGTGAGTACAAATAAAACAGAAAAATACAGACTTATATATATATATATATTCTATCTATCTATCTATCTATCTATCTATCTACATCTACATCTACATCTA